AACGTTTGAGAGAACCTTTCCAGATTGAGAATTCTTAGAGCCAAAGTTCTTAGAATATTCCCTGTTAGCTGGGTGTTCGCCTGCTGTTTCATGAATATTTCACCCATTTGACATGATTTTTGCATATTTTATAGTAGGGAATTATGCATAGTCTGACAAAAGTAATAATTACATATGTCAGTGGCCCAGAAATCACACACTTCACCTTGTTGTTTTCACCGTTAGGAGGTCATTTGGTCCCCAAAGACAGCAAAACCCACACATAGGCTACACAACGATATTAAACAGCTAAAGCACACCGAAGTCATTTCTCCTCACCGTAGCCATCTGCCATTTTGTCTGTGTTGGATTTGTGTCTGTGTGTTGCTTATAGACACATAAACCTGTGCTGCACTATGTCAAATTGTATCCTGTCATAAGCTCTTAAGAATAAAGGCCTTACGTAAGTTTTCATTACAATCAATATACTGTATGTTAAAATACAGGGCAGGATGTTTTAAGCTATTTTCTATTAGTTTAATCAAGGATGTTTACCCCATTCACTTTACTAAATTATTAAAGAAGAGGAATTTTATTAAAACATCACAAGTGTGAGTGCATAAGTAGATATAGTGCACATTTTATGGCTGAGATAAACATGATGCATGTTTTATGATGTGATGTGATTGGTGCAGGTGCTGCAGCATCCATGTCCTCTTGTTATGAAACCAAAGGGCAACAATATTTCTGTACAAAACAGCTACAAATACATAAACACGCGTTGATGGAGCATTATCACTAGATCATATCACCCCATCAAATGACGTGATTAATGGTTTACCATGTATGTTCTTTCCTTTCTACCGCTGTTTTCCGTGACATTTCAGCTGAGGCACACAAAAAGCGAAACTTACGTGTGGATGCGGTATGAATATTTGAGTTTTATCTCCATCCCCCTCCTCTTTCTCGGCTTTTTGTCCCGTGATGGGCTGAAAGCTGATCTTCACCATGATGAAGGGAAAAAACGCTGTGTTTTTAAGCGTGGACGCAGATACTTTATACCCCTTGGCTTTCTGACACAATGTTTGCCGTTTGTTATAATGGACCGGAAGAATCTATTATTTATTTATATATTAGTATATAAAAATCGCTCTTAAAGCCACAGTGCCAGCGACACTGGTGATGATGCGCGCGACCTAGAATGAGCATGCGCGCGCACGTTTTGTGTGCATCATGTGTGTGTGTGTGTGTGTGTGTGTGTGTACCTGTTTTTCTATTCTGGTGGGGACGTAAACCTGACTACACACAGACTCATGGGGACTCGTGTCACGGTGGGGACCTAAATTGAGGTCCCCACGGGTAAACAAGCTAATAAATCACACAAAATGAAGTTTTTTGAAAATCTAAAAATGCAGAAAGTTTCCTGTAAGGGGTAGGTTTAGGTGTAGGGCAACAGAATATACGGTCTGTACAGTATAAAAACCATTACGCCTATGGAGAGTCCCCACAAGGATAGCAAACCAGACGTGTGTGTGTGTGTGTACGAATATTACTTTTTAAGATATATAATTGTATTTATCTATCTGATGGTACTCACATATTGAAAAATGGCTAATTACGACGCAAGCGACCAAGAATGAGAAAGCGTGCGTTCAAAAACCACAAGCAGGCTATATCTATCTGTCTGTCTATCTATCTACATCAGTGTATAGGCTTAGATCTCTGCCACAATTCTGCGTGCGAAAGATCATATTTTCAGCTCACAAAAGTGCATTTTGCACACGCGCAATCTGAATTTTCGTTTCGCAAAGAAAAAAGTATTTAGAGCGCACGAAAATCAATTTTGCATTTAAAATACGTTTTTGGATGTGTGCAGACCAAGCGGCAACCTCCCGCTCTCTCTCGTGAAGCCAACAAGGAAGTGACTTGAAGAGATAGTTCACCCAAAAAAGAAAGTTTGATGTTTATCTGCTTACCCCCAGGACATCCAAGACGTAGGTGACTTTGTTTCTTCAGTAGAACACATATGATGATTTTTAACTTTAACCGTTGCAGTCTATCAGTCGTATAATGCATGGCAATGGTAACAAAATCTATGAGAGTAAAAAAAAACATGCACAGACAAATCCAAATGAAACCCTGCGGCTCGTGACGACACATTGATGTCCTAAGACACGAAACGATCGGTTTGTGTGAGAAACCGAAAAGTATTTATATAATTTTTTTTTACCTCTAATACACCACTATGTCCAACTGTCT